GCTGTTTGCTTTCATTTGCTGCAAGCTTTCAGATAGAAGTAAATTTTTCAAAAGCAGCACCGCCTTTACTCTGGATACATTTGAAAACCTTAACATTTGCTTTTTTCTTTCTTTCCCTCCCACCTCTCATTTAAGATGACCTTGAATGACGCCATGAGGAGAGAGGAGAGGCTGTCAGTTACAGGAAGTACTCGAGAAAATGGACGTGTTATGACTCCAGAATTTCCAAAAGCAGTGCATGCTGTCCCTTACGTGAGTCCTGGCATGAGAATGAATGTCAGTGTGACTGATATCTCGTGATTGATAAGAACCTTTTGAGTGCCTTACACAATGGTTTTCTTGTGTGTTTATTGACAAAGTGGTGAGAGGCATCCAGTATCTTGAAGACTTTTCTTTCAGCCAAGAATTCTTAAATATGTGGAATTCATCTTGAGTTGTGAGGAATGGTCACCTAAAGACACAACATCCTTTTCTACTCCAGTTCCAGACGAAGCTTGGCGGACATGCACAGCTACCATGGAAGTACTCTAATTTCACCGACGGCTTTGTACAGACAACAAACCCGTTTCTGCAGCCACTGTTGTTAGTCTCTTGATTCATAATGACTTAAGCACACTTGACATCAACTGCATCAAGATGTGACATGTTTTATAAGAAAAAGAAAAAAAAAACATTCAAACTTAAAAAAATATTTTTAGGTATTTTCACAAACAAACTGGCTTTTCAATAAATTTGCTTCCATATTGGTTGAATAAGACGACAACGGTTAAACTGAGGGACGTAATTATAAAGGCTTTAGGTATCAGTTACATATTTTTCAAAGCCAAATATGTACATGCTAAGGAAAGAAAAACAAAGAGAAGATTCAAATCTCGTAGTAATTTAATATTGTTATTAAAACTTTAATGTATCCTATTCTTTAACATTTGGTGTTAATGTAAAATTACTTGGCAGTGCTTGACATTTGAAATAAACACTTTTCTATTGTTTTATTTGCAAGTGGTCCAATTAATTTTGCTTAGCTACAGTTTGGTCATCAGTGGAGTTCAAAGACACTATTAAATTGTTAGGTTCCCAGAGAAATTTGCCCCCTTTTAAAGAAGGCCGGGTGGTCCCTAAAGTATAGACTTGTCCCCAGATAAAATCTGAGCCTGTTTTTAAGTGTGTCTTATCGTATGTAAGGAAATATTTAGCATAAAGCATTTAATCTCTGTAGGTAAATGCTAATAGATATTAAAAACTAATATTAAAAACAAATATCAGAGTATGTGAGGTTCTGTTTTACAGTGTTTGAGCTGACAGAGAGAAGTGTTAGTTGTAAATGAAGTTAGAGATGCCCTGAAAGTAGATAGGTGCCCATTGATCAAATTCCATAAACTAAACCTGAGTTTTGGCTTTTAAAGTTGTAAGATCTGTCATAAATCTTATATATTATGAAAAGTTTAAGCGCTTTTGAGTCAGCTGCGATATAGTTTCTTCCCATTGCCATCCATATAAACGACCCTAATATATATATTTTTTATACTTATTCCTCAGGTGGAATGGCTATTTTAAAATGCCCAGTGTGGATAAAACACACTTCTGTGGCTTTTGACTAAAGAACTTATATTGCTCTAGTTAAGAAATTTAAAGGAGCTATCTTTCCCTTCATAAAAGACCATTTATTTCCACTGAAGCTCTCTAAAATAAAATTAATTTAAGTGATAAATAAGTGATTACTAACGTTCAACTAATGCTTGCTATTTCTGCAAGTACGCCTTTGTGTAGCACTTGGTGTTTTACTCAGTGCCTGGAAAACATTCTTGTTTATTATATATCACAGAAGGGAAAGAGAAATGTAGGGT